CGTATTTTAAATTCGGTACCGGTACGAGATCAGAATTTGAGACAAACTGCTCATCTCTATATCACAGTTGCAAAAGCCAAATTTATATGCGCATTAACTATTTTTGCCCTGGCCCATATTGGAAAATTCTCATGTTCCCACCATTTTTCCTACAAATTAGACGTTCTAAGCACCAAAACAAACTCGACAGTTGGAAAAAACAAATTCAAATCAACTTAAATTACACATCCTACCTACAAAGAATACACATTAGAGACCAGTTACATACCCTTTCTATTGAGATTTAGCATCATGCATGTTCCTCGTCTTTATCTTCACCAGTCCAGTAGCTCTTAAAAGCAACCATAATCTTTTCCGTCGCAAATTGTCCACTTTCCTGGTCAACGTTCTTCGTATTCCATCTCATACGTTGTGCTATCTTTTCAATCTTCTCAATCACATCAGCCTCATCTCTGAACACAACAGTCCCTTCAGGCCGCAAGATTCTATCCATTTCCAGTAGAATATCCGTTATGTCACACCTATATTATAATCATTAACGACCATGATCACATAACCATCATTAATTATAACCAAAAAAAAACATGCAAAAAAAGATCGTTTTTCATTATACCTATCTTGATACATGCTGAACACTCCACCTGCATGGATGAAATCGTATGTTCGTGGGTAAGTTGAGAACGCCTCACACCAGTCATGATACACCCCGATGAATCCTCGTTCATAAACAACTCCTAATGTGTCAGGCTGTGTGTTCACCGGAACCACGTTCATTACCCAAACGGGATATTTCATCATAGCTGCTGCAAATCCCCCGACGTAAGCATTCATGTCCATTATATTACGATATCGCCCTTGAGATAAAGCACCAACTATGCTTTTATAGTGTGAAACCCGCTCTTCCCAAAGCTTATTATCCTCTTGAAATTTCTCCGCTGTGATACCTGTTACCCAGTTGTTGCTGATTCTAGGAGGAACAACCGATGCCCGTTCCGGCCATTTCTCGAGGGCCCCACCGGAAACTTCATCCCAGCTGGTTACCTCCGGCATGGGTGTAATGCAACCTTGGAGTTCTTTGTACCTTTAAAAGGTTTTAAATATGTTAAAAAAAGATTGTTACGCATGAATGTTGAAAAGGGAAAATAGCTAGGTACGTACCAAGCTTCATCGGGATTGCCTGATTTGCACATATGTGGCTTGTGATGTGACTTTCGGCTTTTGATACAGTCAATATGGTTGATCGGCTTTTGCCACACAGCAAGATCATCTTTTTCTATGACTTTTTTTCCAACAAAGTCGTTTGGCAACATCCTCAATACCATCTTGTTCGTCTTTCAAATCTTCTTTACTTCTTTCCCAACCACGCCAGTATTGCTTCCACCGGATAGGAGGTCCGGAAAGGATCCAGTAACCACCGGGCCTTAAAATTCTATCCACTTCGATCAAATATAGTCCATCTATACATCAATGGCAAAGTAAAATGGGAAACCAATATAAAAATGAATTCTTTAGTGGGATACTCTAGCTAGTTGTGTATATATTATACCGTATTTACTCCATGGAATTAGGCAGCGAGAACAATGAGCCATGTCGAATGCTCTAGCGGGGTAAGGAAGTCTCTGTGATCCCATTATGCCAAGAACAGCAGGAACTCCACGTTCTAATGCAAACCATACTTGAGCTTCGTGTGTATCCCTTGGTGCAAAAGACATCGCTATTATGTCCCTCTTGAGCAGATATGCGCCCCAGCTTGCAACCTTGACATAATTATTGACGGATTTTAATTATTTGGATTCTGTCGCTAAATTCAAGCTAGCTAATTAATTTGATGTAAGTAAGAAGTTGAGAATCAAAAGATTAATGGAAGCTAAAAGCAAAAACTTACTCCACACCCAGTATCAATTGCAGTCCGGATGGTTCCATTAGTGAGAGGGATGAGTTCATTGATATCATCAATGTAAGCATCAGCTCCACGAGGGAACATAGTACCACCTCCTGGAAATTTAAACCTGTCACCTTCAACTTTAATCCAGTTTTGCAGGTCTTTCTCAATGCTAAGCTCTTTGTGAGGAATGTTGTCGAACCAGGCATAATCTCGACTCTGCGGCCATTTGAAGGGGAGCTTGTACTTTGGTGGTGCAGGTATTAGGCAATGGAGGAGTTCATCTTTACTGGGACAATGTCTCTCTCTGTATTTCAACATATCTCGATCGAATTTCCTTCCTCTATCTCTGTCTTGACATGGCGTGTATTCACTGAAGGACATACTGCATGCTGGGAACTTCTGTATCTCTTGTGTATCTTCCATCACTAACTGATGATGGCTTTCGAAATCCAACAACACAGATGATGATGGTATGGATGATGATGATGATGATGAATCAGGGGCTGCGTTTGATGCGTTTTCACATCCAGCTCTGTTGAGGAATTCGGTGTGGCTTGTAGGGGAGACACTGCTCTGCCAAGCACCCAATACGTAGAAGAAAATGCAGAGTGCACTCAAGGCTAAGATCCACGTCAGATTATTCTTCCTTGCTTCTAAATGGTTATATTTTGGTGATGCGCCATGTTCCTTGGCCATTCTAACCTAAAACAACACAAAAAAGATGACGACTGGTATCGACTAATAAGTGAAAAAGATATATAGAACAATGATATTACCGTATTGATTCAGTATCTATCTATAGCAACATTTTCCGATCAATAATTTCCCTGCAAAACATGGTCGTCACCATCTTTTCCGATCATATTGTGAGGCCAGGAAAACTCGGTGGATGAAAGATTTCTAGAAATGTAGAGATGATACCTGAAGTTGTAGTGAGTTCTGTTCATAGATAACTGGATGTCACGAAAGACCATATGCGCTGATAGACGATTTAGATTCCTGAGTTTGCTTCTGGTTGCCGTTGTTGGACTTAAACTCATCAGTACTCAGATTATATTTCAGAAATAAGGAATTTAGCTACAATGATGATGTCTGAAGTTAATTTGTTTGGAGTCTTGGATTGGGTTTGAGGTAAATCTGGTCCACACATAAGCAGAGAGAACAAGATCCAATGAACACGGATCCCTTCCAAAGATAGAAGAAAGAAAGGTTTAGAGACAAATTCTTTAGACCTTATCATCGCTCCCATTTTCCATCCAGTTGTTACAAGTGTCAAGATGTCTTGTGTTTTGACCTCCATGGAAGAAGTTACTCCTATGGCAAATTCCAGAAAACTTTCATGGACTTGCATGGTCATAGTCTGCAAATTTAGTCAAACTCATTAATTTTCCTGCTTGACTTCATATCACACCATTTTGTTTACCCACAAAACAATGATTTCCACTGTGGAATTTGAAGTGGTTCAACCCAAAACAAGACTGGTTAGAGTTAGAACGAAGGTGAGGTTTGGTTCAGGAGCTTGAAGTGGCGAGTATATCTGGCCATACTCTGTTAGACAATTGTCAGGTATCTCCAAAAACACCTAGAAATTGTTTAAAAAAACATCAAAATTTTGATATACAAAAAGGAAAACTTTAATCCATATTTTTTGCACTTATTAACAATTAAACCTTAGTTTTTTTAATAGAAAAACACAAAATACGAGCAATTGTTTACAAAAGGAACAAGAAATTAGCAACGGTTCACATATTTAGGACTTTAGGTACTAATTTTGGTTTTTGTCGTGCAACCATTAAAAAATTATTATGTTTTGACTTATTAACGATAAAATCATAACTTTTTAACAGAAAAACAATAAAGAATTAAATTATAATACAATTTTACTGTAATAAATCTTATATTTAAAAAGGACAAACAATTTTATCATAACTATATATAAGATTGCAGTAAGATAACATTAGACAAATAAAATATAATAACATTAGAGTAAGATAATAAGTAATGTTTAAAAAAAATTAAGGAGACAATAATAAGAAAATATCATTTATTAAATACTAAGAGTACATATAAGAAGTATTAATTAATCATAATTATTATTATAATTAAATGTTAAATACATTAATTATAATAAATATTACCATAATTAAATATAAAATTCATCATAATTTCCATAATTAATGCTTTTCAAATTTAATTATGGTATTATTTTTCATAATTAATATTTTTTATATGCACTCTTATGTTACATATTAGAAAATCTCTTTAATATCGTTTTTAACAAATGATATTATCTTACTTTAATGTTACTATTTTCTCTTTGTCAGTTGAATGGTGCTATTTTATCGCAATCTTAAATATTTTTTATGTTTGACATGAAATTTTGTCTCTAAATATAATTGGCTTTTTTTATTTTCTGACGAAAGTTTTAATCTTATATTAAGACAAAATCTTCTATCGATATAATACAATAAAATAACACTATTAAAATATATTTTTGTCAAACAAATAAAATAGAATATAAGAGTGTAGGAGGATACAATTCTCTTTCTTGTTTTATTAAAAAAAATGTCATGACATTATTGTTAATTAGTAAAAAATATAAGAAACTCTTGGATTCAAAACCAAATTTACTGACTAAAACCAAATAAAACATAATCTTTTAATATATATATATATATATATATATATATATATATATATATATATATATATATATATATATATATATATATATATATATATATATATATATAATTTCGAAATAGATTTATTTAATTTTGTTTTTTTTTTCAATATTTAAGCCTATCTTTTATCTAAAAATACTAAAGATATTAAAATTCTTAATTTTTTTCTTCTATAAATAGACATCCATATAAATATAAAAATAAAAAATAGTTTTTTCCCACTTTGTTGTTTTAACGTTTTGATTTCTTATAAATTGGTTTTATAAAATTCAAAAGTGAATATATTCACACTATGAATCTGTTTTGATTTCTTATAAATTGGTTTTATAAAATTCAAAAGTGAATATATTCACACTATGAATCTGAACTGTAGTAATTCAAGTTTTATAATTCACAATGTGAATCTGATTTGCTATTATTCACATTGTGAATCTAAACTTAAAATAATACAGTTTTCAACATTCACAACGTAAATTTGAGCTAAAATCTAAAAAAAAAAAAAAAAAAAAAAAAAAGAATGAGTTTTTTAGAAAAGTAATTTTGTAAAATATGCAAGTGATTTTATCCACATTGTGAATTTCAACTCTCTCTCTCTCTCTCTCTCTCTCTCTCTCTCTATATATATATATATATATATATATATATATATATATATATATATATATATATAATATATATATATATAGAGAGAGAGAGAGAGAGAGAAAGAGAAAGAGAAAGAGAGAGAGAGTTAGATTCATATATAACCTTTAAGTATTGTATGACCGTATGATTAATTCTAGGTCAATCAATACTTTGGGAAATATTAGTCAAATTACAATTAACTAATTAATTAAATAACGTAAAAGCCTATTATTAAGGTGTTTAAGCAGTATTCCGTTGTGCAGGAATTTAACTTCTATCACCACCGCCTAGGGTTTATTTTTTTCATGATTCTCTTACATTCCGACGAGATGACAAAAATCAAACACTAGAGATGCACGCCTGACGCCCCGAGTTCCACACACCTCCCTCCACGGTCCTTACGGTGGCTATTGAGATACAAAATTCATTTAAGCTCCATAATAATCATCACTTCTATAACTGGAAAAAAGGAATCAAACTCATGGGATGAATCTCGATCGACACCTGTAACTTGGCCAATTCTCAATTTTTTTAAATGGTTGTTGATCCACTTTGACCAGAAACTTAATTATTGATTGATTCGTATGTTTGTTGCAATTCAGTATTAGGGATTATTTGACATTGGTGGTTGTCTCACTATTGTCTGATAGCTTGAAGTTGTATATAGGTTTGTCCCTTCTTATGTTTCTAACAATTGGATTTGTAGTTTCGATCCTTTGAATTGGTTGTATTTCCATTTCAATCGACACTGCAAGATAGGTATAAGAAGACGTTGGATTTTCTTTTTGTCTTGAAAACTCTTGAACCTGCACTTTAGTTTTTTATCCTTTGGTTGAAGAGTCGAATTTCGAAGGAAAAGATTGCAAATTTGCCCTTTGACATAAAGATAAATTTGCCTTTTGGCAAATTAGTTAACCCATCTTTTTTTTTTCATTGTATATACTTTATCTTTTTTTTTCCACTATATGCTTCATTTTAATGACAGTGGATGAAAAAAGCATTGATTTTATATATTTCTAATTTTATAAAATCTACATTCATTCTTTGAAAAAAGCATTGCTTCATTTTTTTTACACTATATGCTTGATTTTAATAAACTACATTCATTCATTGGCACTTCAAGTAAGAATTATATCTAAGATAATTGTCAGAAAAAAAACATTGCTTTTTGTCTAATTTTATAAAATCTATGGCGTTTGGGTGGTTCATATTACTACAATCAAATATAGGATAGCATATGTGTGAACTAAATGCACAATTGGCTTTTTAGGTTAATTATAAATAAAGAAAACATCATTCTTGAGATTATTTACTTTAGTTCAAAAAGATATATTCGCATTTATATTTGATTGATCTACAAATAAGAATTTGTTAATGCTTCATATCGAAGTGTAATATTAGTTGTTCCTGAAATATAGAGATTTTGTATATATGAGTTTTTTACAAAGGGTATTAGAAAATAACTATTGAAGTTTTCATATTCTTGAAGAATAGAGCATATAATATCTGATTCTTAGCTAATTATTTATAATTTTGTGTAATTCTTTACCAAATAAGTATGTAAACAATGTTTGAATACAAAATTATAGAATTTCATGCTTAAAGAGCGATGTAATTATATTTGTATGAAATCTTAAGTATTAACTTAAATTTAAAGTTCGATTGACATAATTTATTGTGCTAAATTTATTATCAAATATTGTTTATCAAATTACATAGTTCTAACTAAGAGTATATGTACATTTTGTATCAACTCTAAGTCTCGTTCAAAATTTATAAAGTTAAATTCTTAAAGAATGACATATATATAATGATTCAGTTTGTAAATCATATATATATATATATATATATATATATATATATATATATATATATATATAAGTCTCGTTCAAAATTTATGAAGTTAAATTCTTAAAGAATGACATATATATAATGATTCAGTTTGTAAATAACACACACACACACATATATATATATATATATATATATATATATATATATATATATATATATATATATATATATATAATGCTTTATGTATGAATTCTCAAGATACAATTATTTTTTATAATTGCATTAATTTAACTTGCATACAAAAGTATGATGTATATTGATTGTAGAATAATAATGTATTTGAGATTTGAACAATGGGTAACATGTTTTTTGTAGTTGCAGGTGTACTAAAGCAAAAAGAACAACACCACAAAAGTCCGCAAGCAGAGCTTCTACAAGAATGACCAATGGAAGAATTAGTTGAACAACCAGAACAACAAAGATTGATTGAAGGAAAAACTAATTAGTAATTAGCATTCTACGATTGTAAAACAATATATTAAGAAAGAACGGAAACTAATTAATATACCACTATTTATAAAATATAGTTGATTCTACAAGGAGGGCAAAGAAAATGGATTTGAATAGATGTATAAATTAAGTGTAACTTGTTCAAGCAATTAATGAAAAATAATACAGACCCAAAATTACCAAGGATCTCTAAAAGTTGTAAGTTTTGCTATACTATTCTAAAGAATGAAAGAAATTAGTAATTACCATTCTACTACTATAAAAAAAAGCACTTTGTAAAGAAAATTATTTTGAAAGAATTGTTACTAGTTATCTTTCTATAAATTTAAATGTATTGTTTTAAAAGAATAGGAAAAATTAGCATTTTACTACTAATAAACATCGTATACTAAAAGAATAGTTCCTAATCATGTTAATAATTAGGTTTATATAGCTATAAAACAAATTATTCTGAAAGAATGGTAAAAAATGGCTTATCGAATTAATTTTGTAAGATGATAATATGTAACGCATCTTGATTATCCTTCGGTTTTTATCAATTAAGCATATATGGATTTGAAAAAAAAAAGAATTATAACTCCCTAAATAATAGTAATTTCCTTACTTGATGTTGAATAAAATGTCTATAATGCCCATAAATACAAGTTTTTTTAAAAAATAAAGCATCGTTAATATGTGATGCATGTCACCGTAATTATGGTATATCAAAGCAATCTTAACCTCTAAGAATTATGATGTGATGGCTCAAATCTAGTCATACAATCACACAATACTTGTAGTTCATATTTAATCATAACCCTATATATATATATATATATATATATATATATATATATATATATATATATTATATATATATATATATATATATATATATATATCCTAATAAATGAATAGTTTCGATCTTTTTTTGTCAGGTGTCACTCTAATACAACTCCACATTAATATTATGTCATGTGTCTTGTCGATATATTAGACATGTAACATCCCGCTTATTGAATAAATAAGTAGATAAAGATTAATAGTCCTAAAGTAAATAATATTTAGCGGGGAGATGGTGTCGGGGAGCTAATCGATATAATTTTTGGATTTGAGGGTTAA